AAAAAAAAAAAAAAAAGGCATGATGTAAAGAGCAGAATATCTGGAGTTGTTCTGCCTGGGTTCAAATACTATCTTTAACCAGTAACTAGCTGTGAGATCTTAGATAAATTAGTCTCAAAGTCCCTTAGTTTTCTCATCTGTCAAATGGGAATGTTAGTAACTTTGTTCAAAGAGCTAGTGAAAGAACTAAATAATATATATAAAATCACTAAAAACAATGTTTAGCTACCAACTTCTAAGCAACTGCAACAATGCTAAGAATGTATGAAAAATGTGCCAAAGATGTATGAAAAATGTTGTGCTAATAAAAGCACTATCAATCATGACTTCCTTGGGCCTAAAGGGTTTCCACAGACACAGAACTTCCAGTGTTCAATTGGGAAAGTCAGGCTGGGCTCAGTGGCTCATGCCTGCAATCCCTTTACAAAGCACTTTGGGAGGCCAAGGCAGAAAAATTCCTTAAGCCCAAGAGTTTGAGACCAGTCGGGGCAATGTGGGGAAACCCCATCTCTACAAAGAAAATATAAATATTAGTTGGGCATGGTGGCACACACCTATTGTCCGTAGGGGGATAACTTGAACCTGGGAAGTGAGCATGAGAGCATCCCACTGCCCTCCAGCCTGGGTGACAGAGACTGTCTCAAAAGTCAGGGAAGGGGTGGGGTGGGGGGAAGTCCTGGACAAACCAGGACAAGGTGTGGTCACCCAAATTAGTGATGATTGAAATACAAGTTACGTTAATCAGGAAAATGAAAGGGTGGAATTGCTAGGTGATATTTAGGTTTTACACCTACAGTTAGTGATACAAACTAAATGAAAAATAATCAAAATTTTTTTTTTTTTTTTTTTTTTTTTTTAAAAAAAAAGATGGGGTTTCACCATGATGGCCAGGCTGGTTTTGAACTCCTGACCTCAGGTGATCCACCCACCTCGGCCTCCCAAAGTGCTAGGATTACAGGCATGAGCCACCACGCCCGGCTAATCAAATGTTTTAAAACTCTTGCTCTTCATGCTTTTCCCCCATTAAACCATCTTTTATAACTCAAGGTTTATTAGGAACATAATATTACATCATAGCAAAATATACAATACTTACAAAAGACTAGCTGCTTCCTGGAATGCATTGACTGCTGCTGGAATATCCCCCATCACCAGATGTTTCTGTCCTAAACCCAGTAATTTCTTAGCTTCACTATCCACATCCAGACTGCAAAAAAAAAAGATTTTTTTTTCTAGTGTCAAGTACTGTTTAAATCAATATTTTCTGAATACCTATTACATTTGAACAATAGTTTAATTTTTTTAAACTTTTGGACTACTCTGGCAAGGCCTCGATAACACTTATTTACCATCGCAAAACCAAAAGAAATCTTAAAGGCAACATTCTCAGAAGCTTGACTAGAATATTTTCTCATAATGGCTCATCCACTCACAAAGCCTGTATTGTATGTTACTATAAATATTTGCTAATTAAGCAACAAATAAAAAAGGCATCATAAAAGAACCATAAATTCATACAAACTGTACTAGCTAAAAGAAATATTAAAATTAAGAAGTATTTAGGTAAATAGGGCAAGAGGCACTGATTTTAAGATTAAGACAATGTAGTATTGGCATAAAGCAAAGCAAATGGATCAGATAGAACACAGAATACAAAAACAGATCCACAAATATTTGACTAACTGAAATTTTGACAAAGGTACCAAGGCAATGCAATTGGGAATGGATAATCTTTCTAACAAATGGTGCTGGAGTGACTATAAATCCACATGCAATAAAGTGAACTTCAGCTGTTATACCTCATACAAAAATTAATTTGAAATGGATCATACGCCTTCTAAATATAAGACTTAAACTGGCTAGGCACGGTGGCTCACGCCTGTAATCCCAGCACTTTGGGAGGCCAAGGCAGGTTGGTGACAAGGTCAAGAGATCAAGACTATCCTGACCAACATGGTGAAACCCCGTCTCTAGTAAAAATACACAAAAATTAGC